GAGTAAGTAACACAGGTACTATCTGAAGGATAGTCAACGGTGAATAAACAAAATTAAAAGGACCGGAGGGCGATTGTTACCCATCCTACTCGCTGAAGCCACACACAAACCCATAGTTAAGGCGGAAGTGGAAGTTTTGGGCTAGTTGAAAAATGTCCACCGGCAATAGACATACGGCACAGAGTGAATTATAAAATTAAACACTGCTTAAGTGATCATCGATAGTATATACCCCTTCGACTGCTGTCACGACATCCGTCAACGTGATTAACCCGAGATCGAAAACGAAGCTAACCCTGGCCAGAGGTCAGCAAGGAAAGATGCCAACCCTTTACTGTCTATACAGTCTCGTCAGGGCTTTTTGCCTGATCCAATACTCCATTACTGAAAATCATTGGCATAAAAATTCAAATGTCTGTTACGCGATGGGGATCACTGGGTCCATTTCAATTTATTTTTTTTAATTTGAAAACTACCGATTTAGTTATTGGGAAGTCGATAAGGGTCTCAAAAAGGGTATTACCCTGAAACGAAGTCCGCTGTACATGCTATCACTAAATGCCTTGTACAGTTTCCTGCTTCACCATCAGTAAATATGTCCAGTTTATCATGTACGTATTAAGCCTACTTAGGCAAATCAAGTAGGCCAAACCTATTGAAATTAATTCCGCACCCAGTCGATCTCGCTCTCGCATAAGCGATTCATTCCCATTAGCAATTATCTTCATATGGCAAATTAATGGTAGTCGAAGTCGAGTTTTCGATTCTTAAAAGGACACTGGAAACACTATTTAGGACTAACGAAGTGCCCAAGCCAGACCAAGGAGAAATCTGAAGAACCGTACATTTTTTGTCAACGTTATATCGCCATAATATGTCTAACTTCGGAGATCGGTATGACGCAAACCAGGTTACTTCAGCAGACGTAGAAGGGAGTGCCTGGTATTCTGTCAAATCCCCGTGCTAGGGTATTTAGTCTGCATCGAACTCGCAGGATATTAACCCCACGGGCAAATGTCGACCGAATAATGATGATATTTAAGACTAAATACGCGCGTTAGATGTCTTCATTGGAAACCAAACATGAAAGACCAAATAACTACAGAACTTGAGTGAACAAAATGGCTAACATGCGAATAAAAAATACGCCACCAGTACCTCCAGAGATGTTCCACTATAGTAAAATTACTGACAACGAACGGACAGCCACTAACAAACTTTCAAGTCAGGCTCTATGTTCTGGTTACAGCAGAGACGTCCTGTATAATTAGACTGGTCATTTCATCTCACTGTAGACATCGGTTGTTTCTAACATCTGATCAGGAAAGCAACTTCAACTTGCATATCTAGAGATTGCAACCAATTATGCTCAAGAAAATGGGCTACAATTCGTTCTATTCGAACTTCACTTCACTTTTACAATTCATGTACTTTCGAAAAGCAACAGTTTACAGTCGCGAATGCAAGCGAAAATCGAGTCCCAGGAAGTAATTGAGCAGTAGAAGACGGCTCGATCGCTGGGACAATATTCTTATTCGCCTGACGTTTTGAAATCCGTCGCAGATTCATCATCAGATACATACTCATAGAACAGTAGCAGAAACAGTTTGTGTGGGCACAGGGTTTTGCCGTAAAATTTAAACGTACAAAAAAATGATAGATGTTTTGAGTGTGCGCTGATACGTTGCGTCAGCAATGACCATCTGGTCCTGCGGTGTTGGCGTAGGATGAGGTGGTGGCCTGTCCGTTCCCCGAGCGGCGACTAGCTTTGGCCAAATTTAGTCTCGGCACCTAATCTGGATTGGGCAAATCGTTGCCCCAATCCATCAATAAGTGCAACGATTTGCCCAATTTATATTCGGTGTTGAGACTAAATTTGGCCAAAGCTAGTCGCCGCTCGGGGAACGGACAGGCCAT